TCAAAGAAAGCAGAGAAGGCTAGCAAAGGAGAGGATAAATTCTGCTTGAGCTAGCAAGCATTCAAAGTGTCTTCCTGGGTTATGGAGGCATCCAAGAAACAGAAAGCTACAAAGAATGATTTAAACAGTGAAAAACAACAAATCATTTTTGATTCTTTTTAATGTTAGATCTCAGTTTCCTGAGTCTTGCTTTAAATCCCAAGGAACATGCAACACAGACAGAAATTTCAGGGTGTCCAGGACTTTCTTACCAGTCTGGAATCCAAACTACAACTCCAAGCTTCAGACTGCCCCTATTGCATATTGCACAATGGAAAAGTCTGCAGGAGAGCCTGAAATCAATATTCAACCAGCCTAATAGAGACAAAGTTCAAAAATGAAACAAAGGCACTTGTGTTCAGATGCTTCTGTTTCCAGACTTTTAATCTTCTATTGACTGCGTTACATATTTTGGAAAATTTTCTTCTAGTCAAGTATGGGCTGAAATTACGAAACCACACTTTTCTTGCTTTAATGGTGTTTGCATTACTCTGATTAGTTTGTGTGGTGAGCTCCTGCCCTCGAAGCGTAGGCATTACTTTATGTGAAGCCAATGGAACCTTTGGCTGCCTTAAGGATTATGGGTTAAGGCCCCACATTTGTGCTGTTTTACGCCACTGTATGACCTAAATGAGATTAGAGTAATAAATCCTGATTTATTATGAGGGTTTTATTTAGACATGTTTTGAGTATGAGGTCTGTGTCAGGATTAATAGTGAAATGTAACATGCCCAGGCACAGAGAAAGCCCAACAATGAAAGGACATTTTTTTCCCTTGAGAAAACTGGTTCCCAGCCCTCTGTTTGGCTTTTAATACAGTTGCTAAATGTTGAATGGCAGAGAGACGCTGGATCCCAAAGATGGTGACGTAGACCACGACTTGGAGATGAGCCCATTCCAAATGAAGGACAGAAGTATCCCATCAGCAGTATTTTGCAAAGCTAAGTACATACACTCTGCAATGCAGCAGTATTCAAAAAACTTCAAACAACGTTCTCAGAATCCAAAGACAAATGAGAAATTATGGGTTCAGGATTTATTGGCTAATTCATCCATCAGGTTGAGCAGGCACTAGTTTAGGTGCTTGCCCTGTAGTTAAATCAGATTGCTGAACACATTCAAAAGAAATGTCCATTTTTTTCAACATCCTGGCCACCATGTCTCATCAAGAAATATGACATATTGTCACGTAATGCACTAAATTGCATTGGCCTAAGTATTAGATGCAGAAGGTGTGTACTTACACCACATAGTTAAATTTCTCTATTCTAATAATCACATTACAAAAGGCTTCAGAGGAATGTTCTATTCAATAGATTATTTAAATAGAAATGAGCAGAGCGCGAGGAATTGAGCTCATCCTTTTTTGAGACACAAAATGAAAAAGGACGAGGTGTAAGTGTTGTGACAAACTTGGGAGAATTAATTAATCATGAATTCCATGTTATCTCTTCCCTTTGCCTGATTCAGAGTATTAATACTCCTACTCTCCACCATATACTTGGCAGATCTTGTTCAGCATCAAATTTCTGTCCCACTTGTTTGTTTATGAGTAGAAATAGGAAGAATTATTTACTTCAAAATGTTGTTGTTGAGTTTTGCAATCATAGGCCTCATGGGGTGCAGAGCAAAAGAAAATGTTGAACCAGAATACAAGCTTATTTTTATTTAGTTTGGCAAGAGACCTGTCTACCTGACAATCTCTCCTGGTATGTCTCAGATGGGGTGGAACTGAATAGAAAGGCCTCACAATTTTGCAGATAACTTTGGGACAAAGCAACTCTTGAAGGACAGATTTCAGGATCCAGCTATGGTACTTTCTTTAGTGCTTCAGGTTTAAACCATGAGAGCCTGGTCGTTATAAGAAATACAATCCAAGAAGTCATGAAGCTTCAAAAGAAGTGAAAAACCTGGCCATGTAATGAAGGACAAGTTTTCTAGACTACCATCATATAAAATCAAATATGAAGATGGCTCAGTACCTAGCAAAATCTTAAATTACTTTATTTTCTTCCCTTCTCAGAAGAGCATTTTTCTGCAAAAGCCTTTCTAAAAGACTTTTAGAACTACACACTTCACAGTTGCAGAGTGCTAACAGTCTTGCCAGCAAATTCATTAACTGCAAGTGGCATCGAAGATGAGAACTCAGACCTCTTTGGACAGGAGCAGGGGCAGCAGTTGAAATTGCAGAATTCGGACACTTTGTTACCTACTTTTGTTCATTTCAAGTCAAATAGCAGTAGGACAGCCTAAATAAACAGCTTTTTGAACATTGGCAGTTCAGTGAAGTTTCTTTCTTTGACCAGTGGCCCTTAGAAAGAAAACAGTAACACAAACAGATAATTTGGAATTGCCCAACATCCACAGACAGCAGCAGGGCTGCTGGAGACCAGGAGGTGGCTGAACTTCCTAAGCACTGAAGAGCTGCACGGGAAGTTTGGTCTATTAAGTTTTTTATAATGCTGCAATGCAGAGTTTCCCAACCAACCTTTGCTCACCTGTGTCAAGGACACTTGTCTGGGGCACAATCTGTGTGACCACTGTTTTTGCTGTCCCTTGGCAGCTTGGCAGCAGCTTCTTATTTAGCTATTTACAACACATGAGCTGGCAATCACATCCACAAGGGCACTAAACCAGCAAATTGTTGAGTGGAAATGGGTTCCTGCTCCTCTGCACATTTTACAGAATACTTCAGGCATGTGGCAGTGTTAAAATCCTGGTGGCTCTTGCGGAAGGAATGCAGTGGAAGCCTTTACCCCATGAAGCAAGTTAAAGTCTTACAACACAAGCTGTGAAGAGTTGTTATAGGTCACTGATAAAAAGCAATAGAGTGCTTATGACCACTGTGGGTTAATGATAGCCACAAGCAAAATCAGAAAGTTTGTGCTGCGAGCAGAGAGGTGGTGTGTAACCCACTGGATTTATTATTGCTGTACTCTGGCCTCTAGATCAGGTAAGTGTGCACTGGGGTTGGGAAGACTAACAGATACACAAGGCTGGCCTACTAGTGGAACGGAGAAAGATGTTTTCCTTGTCTGCTAGGAGGAAGTATGTATCCATATAGGGGAGGTATTTCCCTGATCTGGGAGATGGAGCCTTCTGTAGTACGTATTGAAATATAATTTATTGTATCCTATTTGTTATACATATTTTCTAAACTGTTCAGGCCCTTTAGCTCCCCTATTTTTTCCTAATGAACATTACAGCCTGAGTACAGACAGTTTCTCTGAAAAACATGCTTTAGCAACTGCTCCGTTTTCCATGTCCTACCCTGGTATCAAATAAATTTTACTCTCTTTTTCTTTTCTTTTTTTTTTTTTTTTTTTGTTCCAGGAATTATGCAGGGTCTAGGAGGATGTGCTAGTTCAAAACTAAGTTCAAGTTCATTTGTGCTGAAGCCATACAATTATTTTTCTGCAAGCTCTAACATAGTTTTGTATATGTACATGATTTTTAGTGCTTAGACATTTCTTATCCTCTCTCATCTTTCTGATATTCACTCTGTGTTATGTACATTTCTATACATAGTCAAATCAAACACCATCCTGCCTCTGTAAGCTGTTTATCTTGGATTTCCAAGGCTGACTGCTCCTGGTAAGATTCTTAAAGATTCATATCTAGAAATATTAATCAATGACCAGATTTACAGAAGCACTGAGAACCCACAAATCCTTTTGGAGTCAATGAGACCTGAGTTTACTGAGCACCTTAAAAATCAAACTACTTAAGTTTCGGTACCTAACCTTGGATTTTGGAACAGAGCTTTAAGGGCTCAGGGTGGGTATTTCTAGGGCAGAATGGGGTTCACTTTGAGGCCTTTTTGAATAGATACCCAAATTTTTATATATCATATTTATATTAATAAGCGCAATTATGATAATTGTCTTTTTCAACAAAATAGTAGTTTTGAACTCCTCTTAGTGCAAGGCACAAAATAATGGAAATCATTATTTTGGCTGATAGTGTCATTTTTTGCATACCATGTACACTGTGTTAGTTCATTACATGGACCCTTCCACTACAGGAATCTTTTTTCACTGCTCACCAGACATGGGGGGGGGTCTTCCCTGGGGGTTGGTCCAGGTAATAAGCACTTTGTGCAATCAGCTTACTGTAAATGATAGAGAAAAACATGGCCGTGCTCCAACCATAACCAAAGTAGCTTTCAAAATCTTCTTGTTGTACGATGCACGGCGCTATACATGACCCAGAGATATATGAAGCATTTTGACCACACCACAAATATCTAAACCACTCAGTTTCAGTTCTTACTTCTCACCTCCATGAGTCAAGTCCATCAGCCTGCCATAGCACCTAGTAATTTATAGATTTCATCCCAAGGGCACATCTGCACACTTGTGAGAAGGTGTGTCTGGTCAGCTGTTTCCAGAGTGATGGCACAAAAACAACCAAGAAGAAAAGGACCTGTAGCTGCATGTGTGCTCTGGTGAATTTAGATCTTTAGGAGGTTTTATTTTGTTCCTGTATATGCTAGGTTTATATCAGGAAGTCCTGATGTATCTTTTCTCCCATTCTAATGAAGCATCATAAGAAGAAACTGAATGCATTAGATTTGCTGTGCCAATTGTGTAATTCTGCAGAAACACAAAAGTATCTGCAATGCCAGGCTGAACTGTTGCAGCCTAATACGGAAGTTTGAATTTCAGGAGTACTTGAAGGTGCTTAAAATGATTTCTAACAAAATGCAGCTAAATGAAGTACTTCTTAAACAGGAAACAAGAAAAAAATCCTACAAAGATATGATGTGGCTGCCACTGGGAAAGTGTCAGGTACTTGCTTCTTGTGGAAAACGAAACATTACTTAACTAATTTAAAATCCAGATAATTTTCCTTAGGAAAAAAATCAGCAGTAAACCGTTCAGGGGCTGGTGGATTTCTTTTTTTCTTAAGGATGGTAAAGATTTGTGCAGAGACATCAGCAAAGAGCAGCTTTCTGAGCTGTTCCCTGCCAATTGCTGACAAAGGCAGTCCTAATGAATCATTCTGAATTGTGATCATGTGCTACCAGCCCACAGTGAGCTGCCAAAGAGGAAGTGCAGCTTGTTTTCTTTCATTTTCTTGATTCCTATGCTGTAGGAAGATGAAAGGAGAAGGAGGAGGAGGCAACAGCGGCAGCCAAACTTAAATAATTCTGACGATTGCCGATATCAAATGGAGGCCCCTGAGTGGGACCCACTGAAAAATGACACCCTTCCGCCGACCCTGACGCCAGCTGTCCCTCCGTATGTGAAGCTGGGCCTGACCATTGTATATACTGTTTTTTATTCACTGCTTTTTGTGTTCATCTACGTCCAGCTCTGGCTGGTCCTTCACTACAGGCACAAGAGGTTCAGTTACCAAACTGTCTTTCTGTTTCTGTGCCTGTTTTGGGCCTCTCTTAGGACAGTGCTCTTTTCATTTTACTTCAAAGACTTTGTCACAGCAAATTCTCTCAGCCCCTTCATCTTCTGGCTTCTCTATTGCTTCCCAGTCTGCCTCCAGTTTTTCACCCTGACCCTGATGAATCTTTACTTCACACAGGTAAGCAACAGATATTTAGTTGATTAAATCTAGCTGAATAGTAAAGTCTTATTTTGTGAGCATCATGAGAAAAATGTAATTTACAAATGTACCTTGGCAATGCAAAAAGCAAATTTCAGTTGTTTATTCGGGTATTTTCACTTCTGGTCTATATGCAAGTGATCAGTGTTACAATGAAACTGGAGGCTGAAGTGATCACTGTGAGAATACCAATTAACATATCTACTGTCTATAAAAATAATTCAAAGGTTGGAGGAAAAGCGTATCAGAAAACTTGGAATATGGACGCCCAAAAATGTAATTCTATTATTATGCCTTATTATTGTTATTAGACTTTTAAAACCTCCTGGCTTACCAGACTTGATCTCTGTGTGCAGTCAGAATTGTAATGTCTGATTTTGCCAGCAACAAACTCCTAGTCCCATTTTTTTCGTAAGTTGGCTAACGTTTCTGAGTGAGATTTCTATTATGTGTCTAACAATTGAAATTGAAATTGATGGAGTCCTGCTGTGGGCCCAAATTCCTGTAATGATCTGTATGACAAACAGCTTTGACTCTGTTCAATAAGTGCTAAGTGCTGTGCACAGATACACCCTCTATTTCAAGCACTCTCTGATGTAAAGGTAATTTAGCTGTATAGTGGAGTAAAGGAAATAGTATCTCCATTTCAGGAAGAGGTCTGTAGAGTGTATTTGTGCCATGGACATCTAAGAAGCCAGATGAGTTAAGCTGCACAGGGCTCCAGGTTGCTGCAGCTAGAAGTGCTTGGAAATATTTATGGTGAGCATGGCTATCTTGCACTTGACTGAAGGATGGGATATTGGCATGCTGAAACAAAGGAAGGCTGCTGGGCTTGCCTAAGATCTCACAGGAAACTTGCAGGGGGGCAGAGACTGGATTCTTTATGTCCTCAATCCCACTGTAGTGCCTTGAGCAGGATGCCAAGCCTGCACTCATGTGGCCCTGATCAAAGTCCACTTTCTCAGTGCAGGAGCAGTTGGTCAGGAGAGCATCAGCCAACCCTGGAGCACACGAGACAGTGCTCAGGATGCTTTGGGTGTTGCTGTGTGTCCCACTTGGAACCAGCTCGGGTTCCTGGGGGTGCCGGGGACTGGTGCTTCTGTGGTCCTCAGGTGTTTAACAGTGCTCTGTAGTGATGACAGGCCTTATCAATTCTGAACAGCCTGACTGGAGACATCAGGCTGCATGCAAGAACTGCTATCCCAGAGCTGGAAAAGCAGCAATGGTAAGCATGACAGCTGTAAGAAAATCACTTGAGTTGTAGAGGGTATTAAATACCTAGAACAACATACCCAGTTTTTTGCTTAGATTTGCTTTCATGGATTCAGTGTCTGTAATGCCTGCTAACTCACCCTGCTCCCCTCCCTGGTACTTGAGATATATTAAGGGATTACAGGAACCTTCATCTGCATACTACTCAAATCCTGCTCAGGCATGTGGTGACCTATGCTTTATCCCATAGCTATTGTGAGAGTCATTTGATAACTGTGCAGCTTCCCAGGGCCAAATGTCCATCAGCACACAGTGTGTCCATCATCCCATCACAGTGCTGGGACTAAGTCACAGCCTTAGGTCAGACTCTTCCCTCAGACATGCATGTAGGGCTGCTGTGGAAGTCTGGAGGCAGAATGCAGCCTCCTGGCCCTTGGCCAAGAGAAGCCTGGCCTGAAGTGGGCACAGGGGAGACACAGCAGTCTATGCAGTAGTGTCAGCACTCAGGAGGCTTAGTGCTGCAGGTAACAATCCTTTTGTCTAGGGAAGATCTGAAAAGACAGCACACAGAATGCACGCATATGGCCTTTTCACCTATTTTTAGCATTGTTGTCTGATAGCGTTCAGGAAGTACAAGTCAGCGGCTGGAAATAAAAATTGCTAAGGCTGTTGGTTCTGCCTTTGAGACAGAATTTCTGCTTTGTCATCCTGAGTCCTAATGATCTTCCTCTGAGCCCCTCTGAAAAAGAGTGGAATAGTTACCTGTCTTGAAGAGCTGCTGTGAGGCTTTTGAAACAATATTTGCCAGGGACTTTCAGAGTTTGTGATGTGCGTCATAATCTTTAAATATCTTGGGCCACTGTAGACAGACATAAGATTAGTATTGTTGTTTGCTCTAGAGCTAGTTGCTGTCAGTGAAATTTAATCTCAAATATCTCCCCAGCTGAAACAAAAGTTTAAGTAATACAAGCACAGCCATTCTACGAATATATGACAGAGTAAGTGCATATATTTTTAATTCACTGTTATTAATTCTTTACTTCTAACCATTAAAAGGTGGTTTGGCTTGAAATTCAGCATCTTGTATTTAATGTACATATAGCTTTCCACAGTAGGCAAGCAAGAACTAGTGTGAAAGGGGTGGAGAGAGAAAATTTTGTTTTCAGTAATGGCTTAAAACTTCACAGACCTGTTTAGAAGCAACTTTTATCCTTTTATTCTGTAGAAGACGGGCAAGAAGGGTCTGCAGCTGTGTCTCATTGCATGAAACCCCTGCTGTTTCACTGGTGCTTAGCTAGAGGGAAAGAAGTGATCTGTGTACAGAGCACTGGAAGACATCCCACGGGTCTCTGGAATTCGTAGGTTTTTATTATCTGCTGTACAGCACCCACCATTCCTAAATGTGGCACTGCTAGGAAAACTGAAATAGATGTGAGAAGAAAAAAAGTGATTCAAAAAATACTGCAAATCCTCCTGGCCAAACAAAAAATTCACTTGGCAAATGCCTGAGGGCGTTTTTCGAATAACAAGCATCTTTGAACTTGACAGAAAGTTAGCCACAACTATTCTCTTTTTCAATAGGTATCTCAAAGCCATGGGGAATTTCAGCTGTGTTTTATGTGTAGCAAGACAAATAAGCCCTGATGACATCAGCACAGCAAAGTTTTGTTCCCAGACTTGAGCATCAGCAGCTGCAGCAGAAGAACCTCAAGTGTGTTGGGGCAGGTTGCTAAAGCAGGGGAGCTATGAACAAAAGGGAAGTTAGAATCAAAATAGTTTTGACTCAAAACAGGATCTTTGGGTTAAGAGCCAAGTTCAGGGTTCTTTGATACTGTTGTAATGCCCTACTTAGGGCAAGCAGAAAGGGTGCTGCAGATAAGGCTTATAGAATATTAGTTCCTCTCAGAGATCCCATGCTGGAGAAAATTAATATGATTTCTAATGGAATAAGTAAGTGTATTAGAATTTTTTTATCCTGTGTCTATATTCATTCCATTCTAAAGAAAAAAGAATTGTGTGATCTACCCTCTCAGGAGAGTAGGCCCTCTGTCTACTTGGAAATCATTAAAATAAATCTCAAATTAAGATGAGATCCAGTGACACTTTTGTAAAACAGTAGCACAACACCATCAAGTAACTGCACTGTACCAAGACAGAGCAGCTCCCTGATCCTGATCCACCAGATAGGGAGCCAAAGTTCAATTCCACCTCCAGAGACCAAAAATCCCATAGAGATATTTGCCTCATACATGCAGCTTCCGAGGGTTTATTTTCTGTTTAATAACAAAATATTTTCCACTTCAAAGGGAAAGAAGTGGAGGATCCCACAGTGAGGGATCCCAGGATAATGAAGAAAGTGAGGATTTGAGGATCTGGGTACTCTTTTAATTTATGCCCTGCTTTCTCAAATTTTCCCTGTCCCTGACAAGGGGACACTGAGATGCGTCCTCAGGCTTTACAGTTATTGCTGTGGGTAAAAGAGTAAAGAGGCTCTGGGAAAAAAATAAGTTGCCTTTTCGGTGCTTGTGAGGGGTGGGCAAAGAAGGACTTGCTTCACTTTGTCCTCTTTGCTCAGGCTTTGCATTTCCCTGGGGAACAGAAAACAAATGAAGCAGGAGAGAGGCTAGGATGGAGGGTTACAGACTCAAAGAACAAGGTCAGGGCCAAAGACCGTGAACTATAAATTTCACTGAAAATCCCAGGCCTCCCTTGTGGCCAGGCACAGAAAACAGTTGGGTGGACTCTAGGTTTTGTCATCAGGTTGGGAACTTCTCCAGGATCGAGGGAAAATAGTGCTGAGCTAAAGAGCTGTGAGACAAGCATGGGTGGAGAAGGCTGGTAGGCAGATTTTACCTCTCCTTCCGCCTCCATCTTCCCTTTTCTTTGGCATCTGGATTGAGAAGCTTACCCTGCCTCCCAGGCAGTGCTGATACAATCAGGGACTTTCAAATGAAGAGAAGTTGTACACAGTAAGGCAGTTCAGAGGGGAGCTGGCCATGCCTGGCAGGGTGAGGTAAAAACACACAAGGCTTTCATAAAGGTTTCATGTATTTCAGTGGAACCAGAGTAAATGTTAGCTCTGGGAGGAAAATTAAGAAAATTTCTCATTCTCGAATTACTGAGGATAGCATTTCAAAGTTCTCACCAGTGAAAGAACAGAGAGGGCTTTTTATTTTAGAGATTTTTTTAGCAGAAATCAATAAATCATGTATTATAAAGCTTATTATTTATTTAAAACAAACTTTAGATGTATATAGAACTATACAGGAATCTAACTACGTATGATAAAGCATCAGTAAACGTATTTGCTGTAAAATGTTGCCTTTAGCATTGTATTTACAGAAGACAAATGCCAATTGCAGATTGGCTGGCTGTCAGTATCTGACATAATGGATGAGATCGTTTGACTTAAAAAATAATTGGATATGAAAGCTACTCTTGAAAGTTTGCTGTGGCTGTCAGCCCCCACCATCATCCCTGCCCTTTTAGGACTATTTTTACCAATTCATGGAAGACTGAGTATGGTAGTGAGTCATGTTGCCCATGTCTGTTGGCCTTACAAACTGTGTAGAATTTAGAGTAGAAGGAAAACTTGCCTGTTTTGGGAAATATGATCCAAATAAAAGAATGAACATGGAAGAAAGAAAGAAAGGGGAAGGTGGGCCTGGGACTGAAAGATACACAGCAGAAGAAAGGTAAATGTGTGGATGATGAGTTTGTGGCATATTTTCAGGTTGCAGAGGGAAGTTTGTATGGAGTGTGACAGAGGAAGAGCGGGACTGTGGTGAAAGGAACTGGGAAGGAAAAGTGCATGCTATGTTTCTTATATGTTTTTTGAAGTGAGAAGTGATAAACAAGGATGAACATCATTCCTGTGCAGAGGACCAGCTTGAGACATATGCAAGAATTTACCACATATCTGAGGCTTTTTGGTAAGCTGAGCTGTAGCTCCTGTAAAAGTGGATTGATCAGCTAGCACTGGAGGTACAGCAGAGGCTTGTGCCAGTCATCACATCAGTTCAGTTAAATCAGAGCATGGACATGAAAATTGCTCCAGGGAGATTTTATATTTTCTTTCACTTTGGGAATATCTGTCTTGGCTTTGACAGCTGTTTCACTGATACTTATAGAGCCAAAGTGTCTCCTGTTTAGCTGGAACCCCCATCAGCTACAACAGCCTGGCCCTGTCTGCCTGCTCTGCTGCCCAGCAGCTCTCCAGAGCACTCTGCAGCCAAGCTGCTGATGGGTCCCATGCCATCCCCACTCCTGGGGCCTGGTAAAATGTCTCTAAGGTCAGCTGTTTACATCAGTTCCTGCAATGGGAATTTTCTCTGGCTGTGTGAAGAGATTTTTGGAGTCCTTTTGAACTGGTGCAGTTTTATATGCCAGACATATACCTCAGGGGAGTTGGAGGAGGGGGTGTGAGAATCTCGTTTGAGGTTTCCAACCCTTTGGCAGAAACAGAGAGTCAAAACAGGATATTTCTCCTTCAAAGAACAAGCAGAAGGGGAAATACTTTTAAGACTAAAGAGTAACCCTTTAAACATAAGAAAATTAGCAAGGACTTTCACTGCATTTTCCATGTTCATCTTGGGCCTCTCTGGAAGATCTTTTTTAAAGCCTCCTCTGCTGTTTAGTCTATTCTTAGGAGTAGTCTGGTTTGCTCTGGTTTGCTGGAAGTCTTGCTTAGATGACTCAGATATTCACTGGAAGCTTTCTCAACCGTGCTGCAAGGAGGGGCCATTGAGCAACCAGCCTCTTGAGCTAAATGCTAAAAGCAAAAAGCTGCACCCACGCATGTAAGGTATATTGAGATCAGCTTCTGACATCCTTTCTCCCACTAACAACCCTTTATTTTGTGACAATCCCATTGCTTCCAGCAGGGCTACTCATGAACTAAGGCCCCAGCAGTGTTTAAGCAAAGGTGGCAGAATCTGGCTGCCTGTGCTCCTGCCTAGCAGTGAATTGGTGAGAATTCTCCATGCCTGAAAGTGTAGCTTTCATTCTATATTGCATCTTTTTTTTTTTTTTTTTGGCAGGGGGAGTTTGTTTTGGTTTTTGTTTGTTTGGGGTTTTTTGGTACAGTATTTATTTTCTTTCTTAATGGTCATTTTGCTCTGAAAATTTCAGAGCATGTATCACCTGGGACAGGTTCACCAAATGCAGAATCCCAGTAACAGCTGTTTTGGAGATCTTGAATCTTGAGGTCCTGCTGGATCTGTAGCAGGAGCATTGCATTTGGTTTTACCTAAGTTATCCGTGCAGATTTTGCTGGGCAGTTGTCTTGGGTTGGTTTATGTGACAGGACTTTGTGACTTAAGAGGGACGAGTAGATAATTTTTGGGGAACCACTGGAGATGGCACTTAGGAAACTTGATGTTAGCTAGGTTTTGTGAAACCAGAAAAACTCGTTGCCCACTGGAAATTGCTTTCTTGTGAAGTTCTTTGCAGAGGTTCTGAACTCTTCTGTTCAGTGCAACTCCTGAAAGGTGTCCAGGTACAATCTGTATAAGTGCTACTCACAATAGGTGAGGACTGTGGAATGGCCCTAGAGACAAGGATTACTTGTTTAGTTTCATTGAGGTCAGGAATCTGCTTCCTCCCTCTCTTCCAGAATAAGAAGAGTAGGCAATAAATCTTGTACAAAAAGTATCTGGGAATTATTTTGAGCCTCATCCCTTTTCTGAAAGTGACAGATACTCTGCACAGCAGAAGTGCAGAACATTTGCAAGCCCCTTGTACCTTTCCTTTCAAAAGCAAGTAAATAAAATGGCCTAAAACTTTTTCCTGAACTCCTGTGAAATTTCGTGATCCAGGACTTTGGAGAATGAACCACCAAACTCTTCAATAAGGAATATTATCAGAGATGCTATATATTTGAAAACCGTATCAATGGTTGCAGAATATATTAAGAGACTTTTTTCCCCCAAGTTTTTAATTTTATTCTCAGTTTGCTGAAAAACTTAGTGTTCTCTGCTGCTTCAGCTAGTGTGAAGCAGGCTGATGCATCACAAAAATAATTTCCATGTCAAGGCAGCTGTTTATGGTGAATAGGAGTTAAATGACAAGTTGTTCCAGGAGCTCTGGAACAAGTTGAGCCTGATTTTCTCCAGATTTATGTCTCATGATTGACTCTCAGTTGTTCCCATAACTGGAGAATTTCTTACAATATTGTGCTGTGCAGACTCTCTCCTATTGGGTGATATGTAGAATCATGATGTAGGCTTCTCCTCACAGAGGACATATTTTTTCCTTTGAGTCATTGATTTTTAGAAGGGTGATAAAGGATCATATCTTTGATACTTCAAGATTCTTTGACACTTCATTTTCTCATCGGTTTTCTGAAGTATTTTAAGATTAGTAAAGGCCAGATAAAGAGATTGACAGGCAGACACATCTACAGTCACATTGTGATCATTTAAGTCCCACTTCGTTGGGAAAGCATAATAATCATAGCAAATATTATGCAAACGTTACTACAGGGCATGCAAAAACAAGGTAAATTAGTAAGATAGCATAACTTGAGGAGAAGATAATTAGGAAACAACCCAGAATAAGTTGTATATCATGCGGTATTTATAATGCTAGTAACCAGTGTGATTTGTTGTTGGTTTAAATGAACATTTGTAAACTAAGTTTGTTTGGAAACCATGTTAGCTTATACTTTCAAGTAATTTTTTAATAAATAAGATATAAAATATGGTAATATATATTTTGTGTAATTTCTGGTGGTAGTTAAATAACTATGACTGATGGCACCTAGCTACATTACAGAAAACTTGTCAGTATTTTATCTTTTCTGGTACAGCAAGCTGACTGCTGGGCCTGGGCTATCTCTCTGTAAAAGCACATATTGTTATACAGTGAAGAGACAGTCAGCAGAAGCCAAATAATACCTCAGAGTAAAATAATGAGTTTGGTTCTCCATGGCATCTTTTTGACAATGTAACATGAATGTAAAAGTATATGTCTAATTTCAGGCCAGGGTACTATGATGGGCTCTTCATGGGAACATTGGGCCTGGTGTGAGCTGATCTGTGTGAGGGACACTCTACTGTCAGGTCATGTAAGAGCCCATAATAATTTCCCTCTATGATTATGCTGGCATTGATGCATTTGTTAATACTGATATGAAGGATCTTATTCCTAAGCCAGAGTAAGTGAAATTAATAGTGTAGACAATTTGTATATAAGTGCATCTCATCACCTGCTGAATGGTTCTAGTACTTTGCTTAGAGCTCGCCTGCCATGGGTGAGCAATCCATGCAAATCCATTATGTAATGAGACCTGTCATGACATATCTTGTGGCCTGTGAGACAGAATTGCTGTCACTCACAATGTCTTCCTTTGCTGACATGTATGCTACGTTTGATGCAATGTTTTTTTTGTTTTGCAGGTGATTTTCAAAGCTAAGTCAAAATATTCCCCAGAGCTACTGAAATACAGGTAAGAAATATGCAAACATTCAATGTGCTGTTTGAGAAACATTTTTTCTAATTTGTGGTGCCTATATTTCAGCTATTCATATTAGTATGCCAGTGTTTTATGATGATGGTTTCTGGAGCCACTTTCTTCCTATGACCTTTAGGAGACTGTGTCCTTTCCCAACACAAAGATCATTTTTGGACAGTCACGTATTTCAAAGGCAAATATTTGAAATGCAAGAGGAAAACACCCACCCTGGGGATTTGTTTACTGGTTCTTAACATTTGTATTACTAGGCAGATTCAGATCCAGTGCTGAAGAAGCAGAGTGATGTTTTGGTTTTTTTTACAGGAATGAGTGGGAGTGGGTCTGTTTTAATCTGTGAGATCAGTGGTAATAGAAGTCTTAAAAGTTTTGGGAAGATGACAGACAAGTTGTGAAGGGAAAGAGGTAGGGAGGATGGATTCAATTTCCTGAGGTGTTTGGGAGCTTGTAGATAATCACCCCTTACTCCATAGAGTTGAGGTTATGGTAGATTTGCATTTAGGTGGAGAGATTCAATTGACATTTTGTTGTGGAGAAGAAGCTGTCAGGATGTACTTGAGAGAACCCCAAAGGGCAGTAATGTCCAGGAAGAGCTCAATAAATTAATGTTTGTTGTGGCAGCACTTAAAAGCTTTAGTTGGGCAATGCTGTTTAGAAGGAGGGGGAAGAGAGAGAGAGAGAGAGGTTGTCTTCATTCTAAAGAAATAATTTACAATATGAATTCAGGATAGGAAAAGAGAATAATTTTAAACTGCAATCTGACTTGTTATCTTGCTGACTGTTAGGAGAACATACTACTGTATCAACAGGGCAAATATTATCATTGTCCTTGCTCTAGAAATTTGTTATCCTGATGGGTTTTCATACAGTTTGTTGTGAAATCACCTGTACCAAGTGCTTTGGGCACCACGTTTGGTGAAAGCAGGCTTGAGGTGGGCTGGGGAGAGCATAGGAAATGAAGGATGTGATGGCTGACTCAGGAATGTGGACTCCAGGCTGAACTGCAGCTTTGAAACCCCCCTTTTGTACTATGGCTCCTGTGGGCAGAACATCCAGGTGAGTGGGCTGGCAGACAAGCAGAGCACAGCCCAAGGAGGCCCCCAGAGCAGATGTGCCTGCCCCTGATGGGGCACATGGGCAAGAGGAACAAAGAGGATGGCTGTGCACAGAGCCTGGGCTGCAGGTCAGGGTGGTGGAGAACTGTCTGTGGACAGGTTCCTGCATGGCTCTACAGGTGAGAGCCTCATCTGTCACTCATGCTTGTGGCAAGGCTTTATTCCTGAACACTGCTTGAAAATGTCTTTCTTGAAGCACAGGGAGCTCGTGGTATTTAGTCAATGCCTGTGAAGTGACTACATTAGCAACCTGCATGTAGCTCTTGGAGCATTTATGTTCCTAAATACAAATGTACTGTGGCTGGAATTACTCACACAGATCAGCCTCCTCATGACAGCTCCATATCTGCCCCAAGTCTTCCCTACTGGATTTCTAATACAGATCAGTCCTGGATCTGGCCTAGCTTTTTCTTTCTTGTTCAGCTCTGTTGGTAAGGGTTTTCAGTTGTATTTAGTTTTATCACCTAGATCTCAGCAAGGGTGCGGTTAGTCTGTCTAAAAGAGCTATATTAATAAAGCTGACCTCGTTTCCTATCTTACACAGGGCAATTGAAGTGATGTAATATGTGCACAACCACACATGAATTAATTGTAACAACCTAGTGAAAGAACACACACTCATGCAGTGGCTTGTGTTGGAAAGGACCTTTAAAGATCATCTAGTCCAACCCATGTCCCATGGCCAGGGACATCTTTCATTAGATCAGGTTGCTCAGATGCTGAGGAAGAGATGAATGATGGAAAGATGCAAGGCCTACAGATAGGTCTGGAATCTGCACTTGCTGAGTCTGTTTTTTCTTCATTACAAAATGACCACTTTTCAAATTTTCCCCCCATTTTCTTTAATAAGTGTCAGACCTTATTGCCTGGTATTGCCATTTTTGCAACAGATGATGGCAACATAAATGGGGCAACTGAGAGGTAGAACTGTCTGTGTACTGAGACCCAGAGATCTCAGAAATCAGAATCATTTCAGATGAAATGAAAAAAAAATCCTATCCAGGATCCAGAATCTTAAGCAAACTTTATTCAGAACAGCCTTCACAATATTAGTAAAAGTGCTAAAGGTGAAGCCTGTGCCAGCCCAATTTAATATTTAAACAGTCCCTCAACCTGTCTCCCTGGACTTGGGGATTTCTTACTGTCACCAGGTTCGGATGAGGCTTGCTGTGCTATGTATGCATGTCTTGCTACACACAAGCCTCAGACACTGCATACAAAATAAAGTAGTTTCAAACAGATTTTCTAGTTAAACAAGGCAAATCTCACTGCATTTATCTGAGGTTTTATTTTCAGCTCAAAGGAAAACTTATGGGTACATTCAGCCTGACACAGAAAGAACAGAACAGCCTGGCATGTGTCTTCCCCAGCCAAACCAGATTACACACGGCTCCTTTAAAGACTAGTCCCAAAGTGGGGATTAGGTACAATAGGCCTTTGAACTTTCACTTGTGCTTTCACTGAAAGCACCTTTCCTGCCCTGCTTTTCTGTTTTCTATAAAACTCCATATGCTTCTTCATGCCTTGTAGGTGCCCTTGTAGTTGAATTGTAAAGATACTTTCTGCCTTTAATCTGCTGAGACCCTAAAACTTCCCCTACAGAGACAGCCTGCATCTCTATCAGTGCTTTCCCATAAATTCAGCAACAATGCTTCCATGGCATTGCAAATCAGGCAGACTTTCAGCCGCTCCCTTGGCCACACCAGGATAATAAGGGGGCTGGAAGATCATGATGTGAAGAGCTGCACAACTCACTGGCCATGACAGCTCACCCTGGCACAGATGGATGGAAGTGTGTGGGCACAAGAGTGTGACAGTGCCTTTTTTTTTTTTTTTTTTTTTTTGTGCTAAAGTCTGCAAAGGAGGAGCCTGGCCTGGAAGCCTCTCAGCCTTGCTGGTTGCAAGCCAGCTTGCTGCTGCATGCCAGCATGCAGGCTGTGCTGCAGCAGAAGGTCCTTGTGGCTAAGGCGAGCAGAAGGAGGGCACATACTTGCCGTCCTACAAGCCAGGCAGATGTAAGAGTGTACCTTTCCTCATGAGCCCCCATAAGGGGGCTAGAGATGGGACTTTGGGAGGGGAAAGAGGGGAAGACATGAGACCACTATTTAAAGACTTCTGAGGTACTAACAAAAGTTGTAAATGTGCCACCATTACAGAGGAAACTGTGTGAGAGAGGAGCTTCAGGAGTGCAATGCTTCCAGCATTAGACTATGAGGTTTAAAGGAACTACCTCCAGTTGCTTATCCTAAAAACAGAGCCCTGCCCTGGAAAGTTAAGAATGAGCACAATCTTCCTGCTGAGAGGGAATTTCCGTGCCTGGCAAGGAAAAAACAGCATCCTTGCTCACTGCCAGACATAGCTGGAAAGAAAGTCATTGATTCACATGCTTTTAGGCTTTCAGTTCTCCCTGTAATACAGTCAAAATATCTCAGAGGTATGTCTCCTGCCCTCTGAAAAGAAGCCAGCTATTCTTCAGCTTTGTAGCTGCATTGATGCTAACCCAAAAGAATATGAATGTGTGAAAGGAGAAGATCCCTACTGAGTAAAGTATTGTTAAACAATCAGAACCGGATTCCTCTGGGACAGTCTGTATGTTTGTTGTCAGCCAAATTCAAAGTTCCCAACAGGCATGAAAAGCTGTGGCCAAAACCTCTTGTTCAGTGACTGCAGATTATGAATCTTATCAGTAATTCCCTTGGTCAGCAGTGATAATGAACTAAGCAAACACTTGAAATGGAAGCATGCTTTTTTTGTTCCTTTTTTTTTTAATGGAAATCCCCACAGGTTTATGTAAGCATAAGGAGGAATTAGAAGCAGTAATAAAAAAATTACATACCATGTAATACCTTGATTAAACGTATACTTAAGTTGTAGGTATCAGCGCTGGGTAGGCTGGAAAAGAACCAGATGGATAAAAACAGTCCAGTTCCTAGGCTTCTGTCTGTCACATGTTGGTTCCAGGTCTGCTTCTGTGGTTGTGTAAACACACCTTTTTCCTGGCCTAGATGGCAAGATGCAACCCAGAATCAATATGCATAGTTAAATTTCTTGATGTTTCTTTCAGGAGGTTGACCATAACCAAATTGTTTAGCAAAAGAGACAGAGGTGGAAGCAAGGGAACCAGTAACTTGGGGATTTTTCCTGCTGTTAGACACTTCCCTAATTTGATATCTGATAGCAAACATTAACAGTCAGTGATGCTCTATATGGCAATGGTGGTATAGTAAAACCAGGGTCAAAAACAGTACATTCCAGGAAACTCAGCCTTTGGAGAGGTTTCTTCTGGGAATGAGTAGGCAGAGGGTTTGTGCTGTGTATGAAGTGGTGGTCAGTCTAAGAAGGTACATGAATTTTTTTAAGTAGTTTTCAAGAACTGTGTTGTATTTCTGCTGCAGCCTTCCACATTTTGCTGCTTGATATTAGTTTCTTTACTTACAGCTTGTTGTGTAACTGTAAAAACAGGTTTGAAATGAGCTTGGTTAATCTCTCCAGTAATCTGGAGCACTTTGATTTTGGCTCAGGCAGCTGGTTACTCTGTCAGCTGTGGCAGCCCAACGCAGGCGGATTTCATTTCTCAGAGTGCAACTTCCATCTCATGATTGACACTTGCTGAACAATGTTGCTAAAACTGTTTTCTTACTCTCCCAGGTTGCCCCTCTACCTGGCTTCTCTTTTCATAAGTCTCCTCTTCCTCTTGGTGAATTTAACATGTGCAGTATTGGTGAGGACACAGAATTCAGAGAGAAAAATCATTGTCTCTGTCCGGGTGGCAATTAATGACACCTTGTTTGTGCTGTGCGCTGTTTCACTCTCCATCTGCCTGTATAAGATCTCCAAGATGTCTTTAGCCAACATTTACTTGGAGTCCAAGGTAAGGTACATTTTCAGTTCTTTTCAAGTACCTTCTGAGATACAAGGGCAGTGCAAAGCAAAGCCACAAAGCCTGAGAGCTGGGGGCCTTAAACTTCACAGTCTGCACTTGGCTGGCCATCGTGTTCAGTACATGAATTAAATACTAAATGGTACCTAGGGAGCTTCTGGTTAAAAGCAGTGATCACTCAGATATGTATTTTTGGAGGCAGATTTTGCATAACTTTTTGGCTGGAGTTTCTCACAGCTCTTTTTCAAGTGGACACTGCTTTCTCTGGGTCTCTTGTCTGAAGACCACTTCATTTCAGTACTGCAACATAGAAGTGGCCTGTACTTCAAAATCCTTCAGCTTGTCAAATCGTTGACTAAGTTAACTGTTTAAAGTAAAGGTAGCAGCATGCCGAAAATAAGCCAGACAGAGAAGTATGAATCTCCCTTTAATATTTGCATATTCTTATATATATATATCCCTATACTAATGAGAATGTGTTTTAAAAGACTTAATACACTGTAACTTAGTCAGCTGGGGAAAAGGGTTAAAAATGTCTCCTATTACTCTGCAGGATGTTCTTTAAAGAAATATTGTTAGGTTTATATCTTTGGACACATTCAGTGGTCAAGGAGCTGGGTGGCATCACGTAAAAATGCAGTGTTTATTATAAAATAAGTGAAGATGTTTTGTATCTATAAATAATGAAACTGGGCTTTTAAAAGTCCTTGAATTTGCAGAAGGCAGCTAAATCTTCAATTATCAGTTTAACCAATAACACATTGCTGTTACCACAACAAATCCTTCAAAAATCTAAGTTTCAGCTGCTATTTAGAAAACCGTATCATAGAATTCCTCTCTACATTTACTTAATCAGATGAAATTAGTACATTTCCTGTTTAATCAGATCTGGCCATGCTGCACAACAACTAAAAGTTCAGGGCTGAATAGAAGATTTAAAAACACAGCTCAGTTTTGTTTCTTTCAAGCCTGTCATTTGCTGACCAAAGGGCACTGGCAATGGATTATTTTTATTAGTAAGAAAAGTTTTTCTTGTGCTGCAAATCACAGGAGCATAAATCTCTGTAACAAAGCAGTGTTAACGTAAAGGAGGCTTTGATTCTGTTTTTTGTTTGGTTTTTGTTTTGTTCTGTTTTCTCCTCCTGCAGGAAACCAAATCTTCTTTACTCCAAACTATTTCACAAAACTCAAAGAATCTCTAACATTACTGCAGACAGGAAAGGACAGAACACTCAGCTGATGAAAATTTGAATGTGGAAATGAGAGAAAGAGTGCTTTGCTCCTCCTTTCTGCTGACCTGAAATGGGAGTTCCTCTGAGGACTTCCAGTAGGGTTTGACTGCACATACTTTAGGGATACAGATGACTGAAACTGGCAGTGAATAAACCAACCTGGTTTTACCTGCTACTGTTATGCCAAAAAACTATCTAGAGAAGAAATATCCATTCTCTGCAGCGATATGACAGAAATAGCATTGGAGATAATGCATGCTCTGTGGTGCATGTAGGTAGGCATCAGTACTGGCAGCCTTTTATTTGCATCTCCCATTTGCTGGCATATATCTTCCAACCACATATGAAAACACATTCATCTCCATGACCTGGCATGGGGAACCATCGTGGTGCTCTGTGCAGGGGCTGTGCCAGCACCAAGGAGGGGCACAGCCCTGCCCTTAGGTGCTGATTTGGGCTGGGTCTGTGCTGGCCAAATGCATCATGTGGTGGGACACACTACCAACTTGGGGCTCCCCTTCTTTTCTGCAGGGGCCTGTGGCTGAAAATGATTCCTCTGGATTTGCTTTCAATGCTGCCCTCTCCCTTCACCAACCCACTAAGTGTGTTTGACTGGAAGCAAAACTAGGACACTTTTATCTGCTTTTTTGTCTTTGGTGGGAGGGAAGTTTGTTAAATCTCCACACATTTAACTCTTAACTTTTAAAGAATGACAGCTATGTAGGGAAATCTATAAAGGGAAATACCAACCCTCTTCTGCTCTTTGCTTCTGCTATCTGCAATCTGTGAGTGCCACTGAGCTGGGGTATGGTATGTGCCTGTCAGCAGCTTCTCTCTGCTCTCTCTCTCCCTCGGTTTCCATGACAGCACCACTGACTTGTTAGTATCGAAGGAGAACAGAGAAGTGCCTAGCAAACATTTCCTCTTAAAAGCATTTCCTGCTCGCTGGTATTGCCACAGTTTTCACCACTGCCTGCTATGGATCTGGCTTCAATTCCTAAGCAGCTGCAGTCTCTTGGCTCACTCCTGACATGGCTGCAGGTTAAGGCCTACTGAATGGTGGTGTTTCCAGGCTGTTATAAGCTGGAATTCAGAGACATTGACTGCACTGAGTATTTGGAGGGCAGACTGAGGAGCTGGGTCAATAAATCTGCAGGGTCAATAGGCAACAGCGTGGGTGAGCAGCGCTGGAGCCCTGGTAGTCTCCTGAAGTCCAGGAATTCAGGACTTGGTGACCTGGGAAGGCTTGGTGACTTCCTCTGATATTTCTTTAGCCCTTCTGCTGTGTCTGCTCTACCAGCCACATGCTTTGAACCTCTACCCTTCAGCTGCAAACCTGGCAGCTGAGTGTGTGAGCAGAGGGAGTAAGATGCATAATTTCCAGTCTCCTGCACTGATTTAAAAGGCCCTGTTGCAGGGAGAAGGAACTTCTCTCTTGGCCTGTCTCTCTCACCCAGATGAAAGGAACCCATCCTCCTGGTGTGGTCTCTGCCAGGAGAGGGAAAGGGCAGGGCTAGAGAAGTAAATGACTGCAAGGCAACTTACCTCTAAATGCACACAGCACTTGAACCCATCTTTCCTCCTTTGTCTGTGCAAAGCATTATTCCATAGCCAACTACAAAGAATTTACTTTGAGTTTCTTTCAAAGCCAGTCCCATTTTTGTACATCTGCCTGCCTCTCTGATCAGAGGGATCACACAGGTCCCTGCAGCTATGGCTCCTGGATTCCTTTCTTCCATCCTTCCTTCCTTCCTGCTACAAATCCTTTGCTGGTGTCTCAGGCCCTGACAGTGATCCTGCCCACTTGAGATAGTGGTCAGGCAGGCACTGCTCTCACTGGATCAGGCTCTTTTCCCTGCTTTGTTCAGTTTTCTTTCTAGAGCTTAGGGACTCTTGCAATTCCACATTTGCAGTCCTGTTCTTCCCCTTGTGCCCAAGCTGGCACTCAGACTGCCCTGCCATGGTCACTCTGCCCATAGGCTGTGCTTCCACTTTGTCTCCTCTGTGTTGACATTAGCTAAGGCAGGATGTTCTGTTCCTGTCTGTGCCGTGTTTAACTTCTGACTGTTACGACCTGCTCTGTACTTGTGAAATTGGTGCAAAGCAAGCAGTTGTAAAAAGATGCAAGGTTGCATCATGCTAGCCAGCATCTGATACAGGATGCTCTGTAGCTAATGCAGAACTGAAGGCTGAATTCTCTCACTCCACCTCATACCAAGTGCGGGTCTTACGTGTTTTCACTGCTCTGAAAATAGCACTTGTTCAATAAAACGTAGAAATTAGTCACAGCCCATCTTGGTAAGGGCTGGAACTGCTACCATTGCCTGGAAACCACTGTGCTGATAAAATACAGGAATACATAGATAAAATACATACACTAGGATATAATGGTCAAAGAAGGAAAGACAAAATGTTGATTGCATGAGACAGAGTAGCATGACAACTCTCCATGCGAAGCAAATTGTTCTCAACTCCCCTTATGAATAATAACCTGTGCTTAAATCTCTTCCAGGGCTCATCTGTCTGTCAGGTGACAAGTATAGGAGTGACTGTTATACTACTTTATACCTCACGAGCCTGTTACAACTTGTTCATCTTATCATTTTCCCAAACCAAGAAAGTCAACTCTTTTGATTATGATTGGTACAACGTGTCAGATCAGGCAAGTATGAAAATACTGGCTAATGAGAAAACCTCATAAGAATGTTGATTGACTTCCTAAATGCTATCACTAGAGGAATAAATATATTCAAGGCCTATTTTTTTCTTTTATTCAATGTACTAAGATTGTTTTGCTCCAGGAATACAAATTTATGACAATTTTGTCATAAGGATAAAAACTCCAGTTCTGTGCCAAAAGAAAAGTAACCACAAGATAATATTTAAACCACAAATAAGCACAAATAATTTTTAAATATCAATCTTTTATTTACCTTGATTTTCTTGTCAAAAGAAAGAGCAGATTTTCTTAAAACAGACCGGTATTTTGTCCATTATAAAGAATATATTGTACTTAGAGAAGCAGAAAAACAGTACTTGATTCCACTGAAATGCTCAGTTCTAAGACATCATAACACCCACTGCCATCCAGGGCTGTGGGGTTATTTACTTTAATTCTGGCATTAGCATGGTAATTTCTGTAGTTTGAGGTTAAGGCTATGACTCTTCCAAACCTTTAATTGCAACTAACGATTTACATTGAAAACTAACAGTAATAAAAACACTAAAGGAAATAGCAGGGGATTATGTGTTGAATTTTAATAAATTTCAGCATCTAGCTCCTTTCTCTGCTTTGAAGAATATATTTAACTTCCAGTATTTTTCCAGCTCTTTCAAGGCTAGGCAAAATGGGAGGCATGGGTCTGGGTCATGAGTATCTTTTGTTTCACCCCAAAATCCCATGTCTCCCCTGCAATCAGCAAACACCTGCAGATCCAAAACAGTGTTCCCAGCCATGCAAGGACCTTGCATTGCGAGGGTGGCAAGCAAACCTGCAGCCATTAACAAATTTCTGTTGACCAGTAGGTAAAACTCTAATTAAGAAGTAGGTAAAGAGTAGGATAGGATTGTCCTGAGGACCTTGTTATGAGTTAGGGTCTGTCAAGAGACCTCTAGTCAACCCTGCTGCAGTGCAGAGAAGAGGAATGCAGGTGTTGCCAGTGGAATTAGAGCACATAGGTTTAGGCAGAGGGGCATTAGGCTCTGACTTGTCTCCTGAATCAAGAATTTTCCCTCTTGTTAAGCCCTGAGGAGTTGCTGCTGCTCCTGCTGACCTTTTGCAGGGGGCAATTCTTGCCCTGACTCCTACAGTCTGAAGTAACAGGGGCTGGTGTGACCAGACTACTTGGTCCTGTTTGCCCTCTGGAGGCAGAGATTGTTCACTGGGAGCTCACTGGAATGCTTTTTAGCCCCTGAGTTACTACTACATTTTTTTGAACATCTATTCTGGCTTGTGACATTAGGGTTGCATGGATTCTGAGGTAAGTTATTTGAACTATATGTAAAGGACCTGTAACTGAGGAGTGGATACTTAATTTGATACCAGAATGAAACGTCACTTTTAAAATTACAGCTCAATAAGTGTACTGTAGTATTGCCTCAGGTCACTGGTCAGAAACACTCTTTTCTCTTGTGTACAAACCACATGAGAGGACAGGATTTGCCCTCTGTAGCTATGGGCATTGGTGGAGATCTGGAGGGAAGATCACAGCTACTGCTGCATGTGACAGCAGGGTTATTCAACCTTAGAATGTGCACCAATTTGAACAGACCCAAGCTTTTCATTTTTAAAAGCAATGCCCTTGACCGTTGATTGTTCCTTTACAATTATTCCCAGCAGGAAAGGACTGGAAAACTAGTTTCTCATTACCTGCATTTCATCACTTCATCAAGTGATTGATTGCCAGGCTTTTAAGCTGGAAAGACCTCTGCATTAAACTGATATTTCTGAAGGAAAGATAGCAGGAGGAGGAAAGGGAAATCATGTATCCAAAATAGCATATTGATTTTTTTAGTATACCTTTAATCATTAGCCAGGTTAATCTGGCTCTACTGAATGGAATTTCTGGCATTGCCTCCTGCACCTTTAACTGAGTTGCCATCTTTATTTTTAAACACTTTACTCTTTTACTTTTCAACAGGCAGATCTGAAATGTCAGCTGGGAGATGCAGGTTACATAGTGTTTGGAGTGATCCTTTTCATCTGGGAACTCTTGCCTACTTCCTTGGTTGTGTATTTCTTCCGTGTCCGAAACCCTACAAAAGATCTAGTAAGTGGAATTTCTTAGTGTATTTTCTAGTGTAATGTCCAGGAAGATCTGGAGGTCTCAGCTGCTGAGGGATCTTTTGCTTCTTTACATTCTGACTTCTCTTTTTCAATGTGTCCTCAGCAGAATAAAAGCAACCAAAACTTTCCACTTCTTTATGCTAACTCCTCTTGAAAGAAACTCATCAGGTTTATCCAGAAGGAAGGCCAGGTGTTTCTCAGGCACTTATCTTAAAAATCAGGAACTTTCTTAAGGGTAGGGACTACTTCCCTTTGAGATAATACAGCACTTTATTGGAATCGGTGGAAAAGGAGTTTGTTATCAAAACTTGGCATCTTTCATCACATAGCAGTGGAAATGGTTGTGTGCTAACTGTTCAACAGGGTTATGAAATAATAGATTGAATTTTTTCAGCCCTGTACCCATTGAATTTTTTCCAAGTCAAAGACCAGTGGCCATAATAAGCATTTCCTGATTTGCTGGCTATTTCAGAAGATCAGAGATTAAGGTATGAGTTGTAAGGATAATTCCCGGTAAGTGTCCTTAATATCTAGGTAGTTAATAGATGGACAAGCTTTTTTTATAGCTGTAGGCAACGTCTCCAGGTTAGCTGGTTGACAGGCACACAGGAAAAACTAGGATTAGTGAGGTAATGTCTCTGTTTCTTTAGGCCAAATGAAACCAAAGCTAGTACTACTTAAAAGGGATGTGAATGTAAATAAACAAGTAAGAGAAGCAAATAATAGAATAATTTTCTAGGTGATGGGTTTTATCCTCATATTCACTTTTCAGAGACAATGATAAAGCCAAAACGAACAAGGAAGTAATACCTGACCTTGCACTAAGAAACCCCATGGATCCCGGTGTCCATGACCAAGAATATCTCAGTCTCACTCCTGCTTAGGAGTTAACTAGAACTGCAAAGAGAATAAATGTTTTTAAGTACAGGCCAGAGGTCCTGTTCTTCTAAAAAGTGACCACAGAGACATCTCATTTCATTTGAAGTGGACTTAGTGAGAATAGACCTGGTGGCTAAGATTGGATAGTGTAGGGGAGAGTTACAGAGAATGAAAATAAGGGAAGTGGTCTAATCATTCATTTCAAAAACCCGATCCCATGAAGGCTTGGAATCCTAATCAAACAAGAGCTCAGATGGAGTCAAACAGGTGGTATTCTCCCACAAGAGCATTGCAGTTACACTTAAAACTTATTTTTGCATTGTGATTTGCAGAAAGCCTTACATCTCCATAAAGACACAGTTCAGAAGAGGCAATCAGTGATACCACTTCTTTTATGGATACCTCTTTTAGGGTAAACATTATCTGTCACATGGGTTAGGTCATATATCGATTTTTTTTCTCACATAGGACAAATATTTAGAGGAAGACAAGAAATAAGTAGAATGGAACAAAAAATGAAGAGACTGAAACAAGAGAAAACTGAACTTCAGTGTGAGGTTGCCACAAGAGGGAGACCAAGGCCTGCAGGATTTTAGGCTAATGCATTCAGTAGGCTGCTACTTGGCCAGAAAGCATGGGGTTAGAATTAAAGCAAACCCTCCTTCAGTTAAAAAAGTCATAACAACAAGTCTGATTAGATAAAAATCAACAATATTCTTTTTTAAAATAAACAATCCTGAGAAATAGTTTTTAGGTTTCATGGTTCATTTGGGACTTCAGAAACAGAAAGTTTGAGTAGAGGCATCCTGCATTCAGCATTGCTCAAATACGGAACTCCTTTCCACAAGCGATTATCGCCTGGAATGAGCTGTCTGTTGGCCCTGGTGCTGACACAGGGTTACAGCAGCATGTGGCCCTTTGCCTTGCCATACCTTTAACCAGCAAATGTTGGAAATGGGGGCATGACAGAGATGCACTTAATTTTCCTTTCATCTTTGTCAAACTTACTTAACATATAAAATAAAGGGGGAGATCAAACTGCTCTCTTTTTTAAGGGCAGAGAGAAGATGTCATCCTGGCTTATCCACACCACAGAAAATCCCTCTTTCCTGGTCATGGGAGCACTGGATCAGTGTTGAGGTTCAGCAGGTTCTTTGATTTCTCTCTGTGCTGTTTCTGGAATCAAGCTAACTTCTTGCATCTTGTATGTTTTCTGTTTTGACTCACAGGGAAACAAAGTGAAAATAGTTTTTAAATGAAAGAGTTATATGTACATTCCTTTCCCTGTTTTGTCAAAGGACTTGACCTCAGGATTTGACCCTCATAGCACTAAAGAGTAGATGCTGAAACTGCTTGGTGAAGGCCTAAGGGACTTTTCAGATGTAGGTTCACTAAGCAGGATGCCAAGCTTCAACATGATCAGTTCCTGTGGTAAGGGAGGTAAGGCACCAGGAGGGAGTGTTAGCAATGTGAGAGGTAAAAATCAAATCTCTTTAGACATTTCATGTTTCCTTCAGCTCCTCAGCTGCTTCCTACTGCTCACTTTAAGTCAGTTTGCTAAAAGCATCAATGGCCTGGATGGACAGGAGTTCAGCAGCAACGTTGAGCGTGGACTGGAGGGTGGTTTCAGAAAAAGGTCAGGTGTTAGCTAAGAAATAAAGATAAATAAAAACTGAGATCAGTATCAGTATGCTGGTAGAGATTAACAGTAAATGCAAAATTTGCATTTGCTGAAGACAACGGAAATAAACTGTTTGTTTTATTTTGGAAACCGTGAGGTAAGTTGACAGCAACTTCTAGAAGTCAAGCACCAAGCAATTGAAAAACACCTATTTGATATCTGTTGCAAATACTGACTGAGGTTTCCCTTCCCTCAGGCCAATGCAGGAATGGTCCCAAGCCACGGCTTCAGTCCCAGATCTTACTTCTTTGACAACCCCCGCAGATACGACAGTGATGACGATCTAGCCTGGAACATTGCACCACAGGGGGCACAGGGCAGGTGAGGCACAAGAGTGAGCTGCTTGCTTCCCAAAACAGAAACTGGAGGAGGAGGAACTCTGACACACCGCAGAAGATGGATGAAAATTGGCTAGCTGCAATTGCTGCATAAATCTCAGTAGGATGAGGGGAAGCAAAAGGGGAAGCTGAAGTGGAAAGGCAGCAGAGAGTGACCGTGGAGGTGGATCTAAGGGCCCCCTAGACACCATAAAGACACAGAAGTGAAAATCGTTACATAATTTAAGAATTGTACTTGTTGAAAAACTGGGGTCAGAACTTTGTTTCATCCTCTAGTTCTTCCAAGAGTGGCTGCATTAGTGCCATTTACTTATTCAAGTGTGAGAGCAAGACTGTCTAGAAGAACAGCTGTCTCCATGCTCAGGCAGAGCACAGAAAAGCTGGACAGCACAGGCAGCAGCTTGTGATGGTTGTAGCGAGAAGCCTCTCAACTTAGGTTGCCCTCGTAACATGGCTAAATATCTTGAGGGAGACCTGAAATGAAGGGAGCATCTGCTTTCCCATATGTTGAAAGCTTAGGAAAATCCACCAAACTGCTGAAATCCTGTACAACCCAGCACTGGCACAAAAATTCTGTCTTCTCTGCACAGCTGTGAGTTTTAGGTAAGGATTCCTGTCCAGCTCTGGTATCCCATCCTAGAGCCAGAGGCACCCTCTCTTCCATACTGAGCCATCAGGGAACCAGCCACACGGGTAACACACGCACAGCTCCCAGTGGAAACCAAACCAGCCACATGCACTGTGTCATGCTGCTCATGGGAGAAAAGACAGCACGTGAGAGCTGCAAAGTGTGTCCTGGTCTCTGGGACACAGACATGGGAGGTTTAGCTCTCCAGCAGGCCTTTGCAGTGCCAGGACTTAGCAGGGATGAGCAGCATCACTTCTGGGATTTTCCAACACCTTCTAGAACAGCAAACCAGAAAGGGGAGGGTCTTCAGTGAACCAAGATAATGAACACTTTGGCCAAAATAACTGACAGATCAGAAAAATAAATATCTGCCTGTACCCCTGGTTGGGGGTTTATTTTATTTTTCACACTTCATGAGAACAACCTCTACATGACTGCATTTTCCCCATCTTCTCTAACCAGGTCTCTACAGAACCAATCTGCTAGTCACTAATTCTTCTATTTTCTTTCTAAGTTTCTCTCCAGACTACTATGATTGGAGCCATCAGAACAACAGCTTCACGGCTTACATAGGATCCCTCCAACAAGATCCACTGGACACAGACCGGCCAAGCCCTATTTAACTTCAATCAACTACAGCATTCTAGGACATTCCAATATTAAAACCAATGTTCTGAAAAACAAAGCTTAGCAACTCTTCTTCACCTTTTGGTTTTTAGAAATTTTCCTATGCACACATAAATGAAGAACCTTGTCATGAGCTTTTCATAGTTCAAGGAGAAGTATAAGCTAATGATTTAAACTTTGAAGACTGTTCCAATTAATACCTTGTTCTAAGCCATGGTATTTTGGCTTTGAATAGAGTTGTTAGAAGGTATAATTTAATAATTTTTATGCTCATTTTAAAAGAGCAAATTTCATGAAGTGAAATGGCATAATTATTTTCTAAGTATTTTTATTTTTACACTGTGTATAAAGTTAGAAATACATTACTATGATCATTATACTGTAAACACATGAATAGATTTTTCAAATGCATGACAGTTGTAATTTTTACACACACATAAAAGCCTGTAAGAAAAAAAAAAATCAGCCCAATTAAATACTGTCTTTTCAAGTTATTGCTATGTTCTCAGAGCACAATTTACTCTTTGGATATCACTGCTTACTCAGTGTTGTGTTATAGTTGGAGGCTAGAAGTTATCTGTACCCTGTATTCTTCTAAGAAAGTAAGAAAATTGTATCTTGTCAGCAGCTTTAGAGACAGTCTCAGAAGATTGAAGATGGGCATCTGCTCCAACTGGAGCACTGTGTACTGCAAAACAAGCTGAAAATTTGTATGCTTGAAAAATTAAAGTTATGCAATCATGTCCATCAATCAGATCTATGTATATTATATAGAAGAGTAAGTCAAATACCTCACCAGGGAGGATACATAGAACAGTACAGACTTGCTTATTTATTGATTAAGAACCTGGGAATTACATTGTGGGAATGGAACAAGAGCCAGGAGTACATAAAGCAGAAAAACCTCAGAAGTGCCTTTCTACATAACGAGCAAGCCAGAAAATATGTGCTTCAGCCTTGTATCTTCAGAGATAAATGTAGGGAGTTGTGGGGGGAAATGGTGGATAAATACCATTTCAGGATATGACATGGCAGAGTAAGCCTAAAAGTAATTACTAATCTAAGACAAACAGGAATTCTGACTTTACTTCAGGTCTTTTTTTATGCCCAGTACTCAGCAGTGAAGAACTCTTCATCTCCAGCATGTCTTTCTCCTTACCTATGTGAAACAAATACTGTAACTCAATCCACATTTCCCCAGGAGAAAAACATACTAACTTTATTAATATTTACTTTTATAAAAGTATAGCATTTTGAGATGTACTACAGCATCCACAAATGGTAGATGGGGATGCTGTAGTATGTTTTCCTCATGCTCGACTTCAGAAAGTACAAGTAGTTGAGAATTCCTGTGTACCTTTCACAGAGAATATACAGGGTAAAAAAAGAAAGGGATGAGTAGATCTGATTAGATCTGCTTGAAAGCCAAAGGCAGAGCAGTACCATAGCGTTTTGGTAAAGTGGTAAAGCCAAAGCATAAGCCTTACCTCTAGCAGAAGTAAACTGTTGGTCCCCCTAAAGCTTACATTGCTTTCACTGACGAAAAAAAGCCAATTAAACTATCAGTCAGATTAAAAAGTGCCACAGGGCTGGGAGAAGAACTGAAATTTTATTAAACCCTTTGGAGTTCTACAATCATGTTTCTACAAAACTGCTTGAAGATCCAGTGCAAGAGAAGTCTGCAGGAATTTCATTTTGTTCACTAGTTACAGCTGCAGAGCGAAAACTAAGAGAATTCTGCACTTAGAACAAACTGCAGCCCTATGCCACAGTATGCATGCAAAAGAGTGGAATGGTGACTGTAACCAACCATAATAATGAATTAAATATTTTAAAACACAGGAGATTTGAACAACAATGTGAGAGGTAAGATCTTAAATATAACTTATCATCACCTGTGCAACAGTCATTTACCAAGGCTGGGGATAAAATATGTCTATCAAATTTTCAGCAAGAGAATTTGTTAAAATTGCATACATGGAAGGAAAAAGAGAGACCCATTCAGGGAAATAATTTCAACATGAGGAGCCCCAATGGATGAACAAACCAAAAAAACTTTACAACATTGATTTTACAAGCTATTCTGAGAAAGGGAGAGAACAGACTTCATATCTAAATAAGCCTTTTTGTCTCTTAAAACAATAAGCAGGGGTTAAATTTGGCCATATTTATACAGAAACATAGCATAATGCTACAATGGATTCCTGATGTGCAGACATGCCACAGTGCAATGTAAACAGCAAGAAATATAAAGGTTACCTTCATCTTTTGAATGAAATTTAAGTGAGAGTGAAAATCTGCTCATTTTAATCTTACATTACTATCACAAAAGTAATTTATGTAATAGCTACCAAGTGTCATTGAAAGGTAAACGAAAAGCAAAAAATTTATTTTCAAATGAAACAAAAAACACAACCACAAAAAAAGGTGTAGCAGAAAATACTTTAATTTGTATTTTTTAGATTCAAACATAGCAAAGATTCAGAAGTGTTTAGATCCCAATAAGCAGTTCCAACATTGATTTTGATTTTAATAAATATTACGTTTTAATAGGATAGCTATATGGAGAAATTGTAAAGTGATGAATTGCTGATTGCTACTTTATAAACATGAGCATCAAGATTATTTACAACATATTACAGGTCATTTCCCAGAAAAGCACAAAGCAAGGTCAGATAAAGGCAACCCAACCATCAAACACAACTCAAGAAAATGTGGCACAGTGTATTTCATGCACATACAATGACAGCACAGATCATCAGCTGAAAACTAGGAAAACACTTATTATTCCAGCTTACACAAGTCTCTATATTTCATTGTTTTAAATTTATATTCTGACCTACCTTCTCAGGCACTGAAGAACAAGTTATTCAGCAACAGTGCCCTACTTTTTTACCCATGCAGTTTGCACCACGTATTTTGTCACCATTTCACACTAGTCTTCATGACTTGGGAACAATTAAGCATTTTTGTCTTTGTCTTCTCACTACCTCTGAGATTACAATCATTGTGTCATTTGTACTAGAAAATGTACTGTTACTCTGAAATGAATGGCAGACAGTGTGGACAAGCTGATCTCCAACAGGGAGCTGGAATTTAAAATAGTTTACAGGTCATGGACGGTGTAACTAACCTTATCCTTTAGTATAAAAAAAGAGCTGTAAATCTTTAAAATTTACTTTAACATATAAAGAACTAAGTCATTCAACTCACACAGCAAAACTTCATAGGCAGCATAGTCACAGAATGTACATCAAATACAGTAAAAAAGATGGTGACAGGAAAATTGTTTCAACTAGATTTGTTACAGGAAAAATCTTATGTCTTATCTCTACAATGACAGTGAAGTGAAATGCCTTCCATAGTTGACCATCAAGAGATATGTACCTTCAGGTGCAAGAGAACTTACACACACAATTTGCTGTTCAGTTGCATTCCTGTGTTCCCATGACACAAAGGAAAAGAAGAAAAGCTTCACATCTCTTTATGTCCTTACCCAACAGTATTAACCTTGTGCCAACGAGGGCTGCAAGGACCAGGTGTACAGGATCTGCATGCCTGCATCTCTCACCTGCCCCATGAGCAAGTGCATGATTCTGCTTCAGTGTCTGTTGATTTTAGCCAGGCACAGGTGGAAAATGAAAAAAAATAGCAAGTTGCATCCCCAGGAGGAGGCTGGAAGCAATTCACTTTCCCCACTCAGCAAAGGGGAAAAAAGGAAGAAACATTTCGGAGACTTAGGTTCTTCCTGGGGCAGCGCAGTCATACGGTTTTGTTTTTTATTTTAACTAGAAATTTCTGCCTAAAGCTTTAGGCACTGTAATATATAACAATACAGATAAATCCCAGTTATACAGCACTCCTCACACAAGTGAGCCTACAGTTCTAGCCCTTGCAGGTCTATCCAAAAGGCAAAGAATTAACAGCCAATTAAAAATTACACTCAATATACACAATTACTCAGAAGATTTGGATACTCAGTGTGTAACTCATCTACCAAACACAGCTGTTCACATCTGAGCTACTTACCTAGATTCCCACTCCAATTTAATAGAGAGAAATAAACTCTAAGGGTGCAAATACAGAGCTTGGAGGAGGCCAGATGAATCCACCTAGAAGCCTCCTGCTCTTCTGCTTAACTAGAAAAAGAAAGCCTGTGTTGACTTGCTCAGACACAGGTGCCCACAGGCCAGAGAGGCTTCTAGGGAAAAACTTAACATCCCCAAACTGGCATCAGCTTCCCCTAACACCACATCCAATTACCTATAAGGTTAAACAGAAACTTCCACTGGGATACCAGCTCACTGCTAACTTGTGCAACTATCACCAAAACTTCGTAAGGGTGGTTTGGATTTTTTTGTTTGTTTTTTTGTTTCCCTTTCTATATTTTTTTAAAGTTTCATTTAGCATATCGTAGTTTGACACAAAGGGGTTAACTTTCTTAAGCAATAGCATTTTTTATAAAAGCCAAGTGTCAGCAGAACAGTCTATTTCATTTCCAGTCAGGTAGAAATTTGAGGCTGGTATGGAAACAAAGGGCAGAGTATATTCCAGCCTTCAGAAAATTTCAGTGGTAAAGGAACACATTATGGAAGCCAATACAGTTACAATCAATTATATAAATAGGTCACTCAGTATCTAATAGGGTGAAAAATGTTTAAGAGCACTTAATTTTGTGAAAACTTGTTTTTAAAAACAAGAGATGTACACTGCACCAGCACTTCCTACATTCATAACACCTAGCTTCATTTTTAAACATGCTGGTTTAAAATAAATTATTACTTCATTTTAAATTTAAACCAATATTTGGTTGCTACTAATGGTAATGCTATTTCTGAATTCTGTTTTGACACTGGTAAGTTATCTCTGACATTTGTGGACAATGACACATGAATAATTTCTTATTTTATGAAAGTAATGTTATTAACATACCCGTTTTTTATGTTGAATATCATTTTAGAGAAGATACAGTGAGGGTTTGCATAGATAGAGTATGTGGTATTAAATGTCAGTATGATTATGAATTTTAAAAAGCATCTTTTTTAAAAGTGACTACAAAAGCAAGTTCTTTTTACACTGACCTTTTAACATAGCACTCAAACATAACTCATAAAGAGCAAATTTATTTCCATGGCTTGAAGACCAAAGTGTGCTATTTTAACATTTAAGACACTAAAAAGACAACTTTTGGAAATTGAAATTGTGATTACAATCTAGGAAATACTATGGAGTAAACAGAAATTTGATTGACTGAGTTTTTCCAGCTAGCAGCACTCCACTAACCATCTCCCCCATCCTGACTCCTACCTCCAAGTAAATGCAGGTAAGAGGCTGCAGAAAAGTCACTTTCAACTCTGCTGCATCAGAGACAAGGTAGTAATTAAAAAAAAAAGTGCTGAAAAGCACAAGATAAGGGCAAAAATTGTTGGTGTCATCATGATGCAAAGAAGCGCAGCATGAAAAAATTTTCTGCTCAGTAAATTTGCTACTTTTAAGTCAGTTTCATTTTACAGTAAGAAGCTAAAACTCAGCAAGAGCCTTATTTCCTTTTTGTAGTTTGTTCTTTTGTTGTTATTTTTTTCTTTGTTTTTTGGAGGTCCCCCCCACCTTCCTTTTGAGAGTTAGAACTAACATACCAAATCCTCAAAATACACTGGAGCTCAGTAAATGGGGAGACACAAGAAGTGACTCCCCTCTTTCCAGACAGGCCAAATCAGGGTGGAGGTACATATGATTTCATATAAAACAGCT